TATCGAGAATTTACTTATCTGTATTTGCAATCATTTGTTTTGTTTGATTAATTTCGACATTGTTAATAAATCAATACTGATAATCTGAAGCTGGAAGTCTTGTTTGTGTGTTAAGTGTTGTCATAAATTATTAGAAATAGGCGAGCTGTCAAGAATCAATTTAAAATTCAGTCTGGTTTTACGGTAACACACAATTAGTCATGGTCCTATAAGCAAATGGAACTGACATAACTTGCTAGCGAACTTGCGAAAGATATGAACAAGTTACAAATCTGTTTGACGCAAGCCATAAGCGTATCTATTGCAATCTTGAAATATTCTTTTCTATAAATGTGATTTATTAAAATAAAACAGAGAACCTGTTAAAGGGTTATGGAAATAGAGTAGATAAAAAAATAAATACTTATAGTTAGCCCTAACCTTTAAAACAATAATGGCTTAATATTTTCCTAAATAAAGTAGCTTTTGCGGTATCCAGAAGAAGATTTTGATAAACGGTTGAAATTCCAAATAGTGTCACCCAACCTAAAGTAATCAAATAACCACCAACTTACGTTTCAAACTGCGTACAAATGACCAAAACGTGTTATATAAGCGCCTGTAGTAATCGTCACAGCAATGTTATATAAAGGTGTTTCCTAACAATGAGAAAAAATTGAACAAGGCGCTACAATGACAAAGACCTTTGTGTACAAACACATTAAATAAGATAAGTGCTACAATGGGAGACAAAAGCCGCATTGACCTATAAATGCGAAGGTGCCACGTTTGGAGTGCGTGGGATGAAACGAGATTAATGTGGGACTATCGGATTCCATAACAACAAGATAAATAAAAGGCTTCTAAAATAAAAATGGTACAAAGTCATAATAATAAAGTCACAATTATAAAAAACTATAAATTTTGAAACATGCACTGAATGTAATTAACTAATCTTGTCTCAAACACATGCGTTTGAGTATTTATAAACAACCGTTTTTAAACTTGTAATAACAGCCCTAAAAGCGAGTCTCTACATAGAGTATTTTATGTGTGGTATATTTGTTTGCAAGGTTACACCTATATACTTATTTGCCACTCTCGAGTTTAAAAAAAAACAAAACAGATATGAGATTACTTTATTTATTTAACATAGATAACCTATGACTAAAAAAACAACCTTAAAATAAAAAAAAATTATAAATAAAATTTTAAAAAGAAACAAAGAGATCGGACATAGAGTATCATTTTTAAAACATCGTTTTCCCGGTTTAATCTCCGTAGGAATTATTCCATGTCCACGAGTCATTTACAACGCAGCCACTCTCCTCGCTTTGCCGAACTACATTGCTAGAAGAACATTACGGCTAAATTATTTCACTGCTTTAAAGTTATTTAGGATGTGCGACAAAAAACAATTTTATTTTAAAGAAAAACATTTTTTATCTAAAATGTACAACTAAAAGTAACATTTGTCGTTAAAAATTATTATTATAATATTTTTTTAAATATCGATAAGAATTTAGGAATCATAAGGGTCTTAACGAACATAATCCAGCCAAAGTCAAAACGCCTATTGTTTGTAACATCGCAATCAGTGATAGTAAACTATGTTGCTATTAAGATACGCAGGCGTTTTCTCCGTTCATTAGGCACAGCTTAAGGCGTGCGAATAGGCATAATATACCAAAGGATTTCTGAAGTCTATATAGGTACTCACTTAATTGTTTGAAATAAATAATGCATTAATTTGTTGACTGGAATAAAAATATTCATAACAAAGAAAATATTTTAATAAAGGAATTATATCAAATGACATAGATTAATTTCTTAAAATTATAACGTATAAAAATATATTTTACCTGTATATGTTTGTCGTCATATAGTAAAGGCTAATACAAAAATAATCTTGAACATTTCCTACTCCCACAAAACATTATTCTCATCTTACTCGGGTCATTAGTCAACAAATATTAAAGGGAATGTGATAATAAATGTCACAGTGTCGTCTTACATCCAAATCATCGAATTACGAAGGATTCAGCGAATCATTAATCAGACGAAGACATTCTTTATTTACGCTTATTTCATAATAACGTTATCGAGACCTAACGGTTACTTTTGAAATTAAAACTACAGATATACTATGACTAAAATATGAGTTTCTTTTGTATATTTTAGTTGATATCTTTAACAGTGTGTTTCTGAAAGGAATTTCCATGAACCGGTGCCATATTGTAATACAAAATTTTTGATAGATCGAAGGTCATTGACTCGCAAATAATGCATAATATTTTTATTCGTCGCTTACATATAGTAAGAAGTGTTATTCGAATACATCAGTCGTGCTATTTGCACGATATTCCATCGATTCCTGTGGTACGGAAATGATTCCATTTTGCTCTAAGTGACAACTCGATTTGGCCAATTTGCGAGCGACAGTTTTAAAATCAGGCAATTTTCGAGAGCCGCGCCACAACTGGTTAATGTACAAGCCTAGAAACACTACTGGTGACTATAAATTATCTTTATTTTAGTGTACAGTTTATCCAAATTATTTCATAGTATATATTTGTTTAATGCTTTATCCATATTTCAAATGTTCGATGAATATGTTAATCAAGTAAATTAGACCAAAAAGTTATGTTTTACCGAGCAATTAGTTAGCCATAAAATAAAAAAAAAACATAATAAATTCTTACAACCTTCTTTAAAAATCAATACCATGAACATCGATTCAGTAAACGGGAAAATGTTTTTCGCCGACTAAAAGTAAATAATGTTAATAAATGTAAATGAAATTTCATCCGGATCCAAGATTCTTAATCAAATACTGAAAAACTCCATTACCGAAATACGCTGATTTTGTTACATAGATTGCTTGTTCCATATTTTAGTCAAATTCCGAGTATTCCGGTCGTCTAACTTTGATTTCCGGTTATCAAGTCACACACTCGCTCATTGCCGGAAGTAATGTAGGAAAATTACGTCACATTTCTCTGTTATTAGTAACGAAATTAACACTTTATTAAGAGATTTGACCAGCTTATTAACTTAAATTATTAAAATGAATATAACTTCATGGTAATCAGTGGAATAAATAATAAAAATCTTTAAGACTGACAATTGTTCTGGGAATAAAAACTCGGAACCTATTGTAAGTTTAATTGTTACGAAAGTATTAGCATATCAAAGAAAGAAGGTTGTTCCTGCTATCTGAAATGATAATATAACTAGCTATCGCCCGCAACTCCGTCCGCGCGGCATTGAAAAATAGATAGTAGTCGAGTCCCAGACCTACTGAACATGTATGTAAAATTTCATAAAAATCGCTCAAGCCGTTTATTTATTATTAAAATACTATAATATAATTATAAGTTTTCTCGTTGTCATCTCTTTCATTCTCTTTGAAAGAAAAGAGACAGCAATATATTTTGTACAGATGTTTCGTCAGTGGACGACAAGCAAGTCCTTGTTTCATTATAATGAAAAGTTTAAACACCTTGTGATTAATGATACAGATGAGTAAGCAAGTTACTTCTTGCACGGTCTGAAGAAGGAAGATAAGTAAGGATATTAAATTTAATTAACGAAAAATTTATTAACAATAAAAAAGATAGAATTAAGCTTAATTTCTATTTCATTTATAATACGCTTTCATATACTTAATTTGCATATTATTTAATATAGTGCAATTAGGGAAGTCGATTTCTTAAAGGTATTTCAAGGTCATCTAAAACTATTGTTTGATTTAAGGTAATTAATTACCGTATTATACAACGTTATCGTAATTTGTTCAAACTTTTAGTATTTGTTGAATTTAGGTTCGTGGTTAAATAAATTTCGAAACGCCTTAGATAAGTATCAGCAAGATTTTCCGACCCCATAACCTTGATATTTGCCTGACAAGGCATTCTAGCGTTTTCTTTCACCTTGCATTTATATAGATAATATTGATCACCTTGTAAAATACGTGATAAGAAAAGTTTATCTGGAATTTTGTTAGTATAAATTAAGCTGAGAATCATAGCAATTTTTTTTCTACTAAAAATAGATACTTTAGGAGAGCTCGCGAAGATTTCTATCTTTTTACAATAATTTCATTAACATACCAATATTATAATTCAAGGAAACAGATGAGAATACAAAAAAATAGAAAATTTGCAAGTTCTTTATTTAAACCAAAAGCAAAAAATACGTCTACTAGGCTACGCCATTGCTACGCCGTAGCGGACAAAGTAACCACTTATTATTGTCAAGAAGATATCGTTACGTAGTTGCCAAGTCAAGAGGATTATTCAAATTAAATTTTAATGGCATTGAATATACACAGAAATAATTTTGTCACGGTTTTCATAATTTATATCTAACAAAGTAGAACTTTGTGCAATTTGTTAAAAGTAATTTTATATGAAACTGGCTGTCGCCCGCGACTCCGTCCGCGTGGATATATAAATAAACTTAATATATAGATAAGTTAAATAAAAAGCTGATCTTCAAGGCAAAAATTCGAAAAAAAAGAATAAATAGTATCCTATGTCCGTCTCCTGGCACTAAGCTACCTCCTCACCAATTTTCAACCATATCGATGAAGCCGTTCTTGAGTTATAAATAGTGTAATCAACACGACTTTCTTTCATATATATAGATAATTATTTTAGAATTTCTTGATTCATCATCTAATCTTTATCTTTCCTAAAATATATTCTTGTTGGTAGGTTAAAAATGACTTTAGATTTATTATTTCTTATCTTTTTAATCAATGCGTCTATATATGTATTAAGATACATACAAGGTACAAATTCAAGGAATTATTATTATAAAGAAGAAGCAGTGTTGAATTTCAGTGACAAATCTATAATATAAATATATTGACATTGTACAGTCGAGTAAAGTTATGATACAAGTCAAGCAAGTTCTTGTTTAAGTAAAAATAATCTCAAACTTACCTCCTTGATTCTCTTGAGCGCGGGCTAAATGTGGTTCAGTACTGTTGATTGTCAAATTAGTTGTCAACTTACCCGCTTGTCCTCTCTGACTTTTCGCTCTCCTGCCGACCGCGGGGGAGACGAGGCTGAGCGCTCTATCAGCTCTCGCAGGGAGGAGTAGCGTGGGCTGGCTTGGTTCGGAGTGACGCGCGCAGATCGCTGCCTCCACCACTGAGTCTATGCTCGCAGACCGAGGAAGTTGACCTGCTGAGTCTCTCCTGGGGAATAAGTAAGAGCGTCAAAATTTGCTACATAAGAGAAATAAATTATTATCAACTAAAAACACTTTTCGGACCGCAATGCATATAAAATAATTGTGATACGTACAGGGACAACGCAACGCAAATACGTCAAAATGTTAAACTACTGGTGGTCGCCTGGATATTATGCTCACAGCACAGTTAGTGTTGCGGTCTATGGACCCTTGTATACAAAGCGCTCTAAGAGCCCGTGTATGATTAGCTGTCTGTTTGTGAATCTCAAGTCGCTTTCTACAAACACGGCGCATTTACTCATCTTATATTATATAAAATTCTCGTGTCACAATTTTCGTTCCCATACTCCTCCGAAATGGCTTGACCGATTCTCTTCAAAATTTTTTATCATCATCTATTTTTAATCCGTGAGTCGTGGTCGACAGCTAGTTGTGTATATATTGAACAATGAACATATTAATTTTGGCCGCTTGAAATTTAATTTTGTTGCACGATTTGTATAATTTTATTTTATATATGAAAACATGTCAAATGTATTTATCACATCATTCCCTGAGGACGCGCGGGTCGTGACATCGCCGGCTCGCTGTTTACCGTCCTATTTGCATTTTAATCGAACTAAAAACTTTCTTAGATCAAAATCTCTAGGCGTGTTAGCGAATTATTTAAAGCCACAGAGTATAAATACGGAGATTTTATAAGTTACAAATTGTTGTCAATGATTTTACAAAGAATTATATATGTTTAGTCATCTTCAACTCGCTATAGGTGACTAGGCCATAGTCAACCACGCTCGCCCACTGCGTTGCTTTCACACATATCTATAAATTTCTTCTCAGATATGTGCAGGTTGCATCACGATGTTTTCCTTCACCGTAAGAACGTCGGATAAATGTACATATGTAAATCGAAAAACACATTGGTACATGGCGGGAATCCAACCCAGGACCTGCAGATTACAAGTCAAGTGCTTAAACCCCTGATCCACCAAGTATTTAAATAAAGTGTTCCCGAGTTATATATCGTAACTAAATAACCCAACAATTTAGTGGCCACAATTGTAACGCAAATGTAACGCAAATGCCATTACTATGTCTTGTTTTTACATAACAACGGGTCTTAATTATCATGAAAATTTATTGTTTTCAGTAGACTGAAAACCTTTATGGTTTAACAGTCTACTGCTAAAGTTTTACAGTAATTAACAAGCGGTAAGAACAATTTTATAGCGTTATTCGTTTACGAGAGTTTAATCTCTAGTTATGTGTTAATGATATCATAAACTAACCGATATAGCATTATCACACTATGAATACGAACTCATATTACTAATATTTTAGTAAGAGCGTAAGCGAAGAGCTTCGACCAACATCTCAAGAAGCTCTCGCTAAACAATTGGATACAAGAGGAAGTTATCCTAGAAACGCGCGCATCGTGAGAAGGTTTCTGTCTCTGCAGCCCTGAGCACTGTTTGTTTTAGTCATGGGACTCCGCAGCCGGTGGTGCTCTATTTTGATATAATATATTTTGTATAATTTTTATTTAGTTGATGGATGTTTGTTTGTAGATATCTCTACAACGGTTGAACGGATCTCGATAAAATTTGGCATACATGTAGAACATACTCTGGATGAACACATAGGTTACTAATTAAGTTATTTTTATTCCACGCGGACGGAGCCGCGGGCGACAGCTAGTTATGTATAAAAAAATATAAAACTTGTACATATATATGATATGGTTGATGACGTCATACAAAATAATCAAATGAGAAAATCTTCGTTACTGTAGTATTGCAAGTTGAGGTTTACGTTGCGGGTAAATAAGACAAAAGTTATATCACAATATACGCAATTCATAAGTTACAGGACGCATTTTATGTTTTATTTTCATGTATACATATTTACTTGACAACTTTACGCATCGTTTTATTTCATCAATAGCTTTGAACGATTGAAGAATCTTAACTAACTAAATACGTGCATTGAATACTTTTTTATTAACATGTAGAGTTTGTAGTGGAAACTTACAGCATACTTAAGTAGAGTTTGATATATTGATGTGTTGTACATACAGCCAAGAGCGCTTGTTTCACGACGAACTTTGAAAAGGCCTTGTGGCCCGACGATGCGCATTACCAATTAGAATTAAGGTAAGGGCTTCTACTAAATCTCATAACTTTTAATTGCCAAAACCTTATTATAATACAATTTTATCAAGGCGAATGTTTAGATGGTTGGATAGATGGATGGATGGATGTTTGTTTGAAAGTATCTCTGGAACGCCTGCATGTAATTTGGCATAGATGTAGAGCATAGTCTGGAATTACACATAGGATTCTTATTAAGTTTGTTTTTAATTCCGCGTGGACAGAGTCGCGGGCGACAGCCAGTTAGATACATTATGCAGTTTTTAATACTATAATATTCTTTATTCTATGCTGTTAATCTTTGGAAATAACTATAAAATATCCTCTATTAAGCCCAGTATAGCGTATTTGCTCTGTTTAATAATCCTCATTTAATTAATTTTCTAACTAGTTTATCGAGGAATGCCAATAAAGCGCGCTATCATTTTTACTTAGCTTGTTCCTAAGACGTTTATTGCGAGGGCGTTGTTTATTACCAACATTATTACACAATGGAAAACTAATGTCCGTTCAAATTGCGACAAAAAGAAGGCAAAGGGTTCCCATTGATCGTAAATATTTTGACAAGTTTTAAGTCATTGTTTTATTAAAAAGTAGCTGTCGCCCTCGACTCCGTCCGCGTGGATATATAAAAAAACTTAATATATAGATAAGTTAAATAAAAAGCAGCTATCAATACATAAATTCGAAAAAAAAATGAATAAATAGTATCCTATGTCCGTCACCTGGCTCTAAGCTACCTCCTTACCAATTTTCAACCATATCGGTAAAGCCGTTCTTGAGTTATAAGTAGTGTAACTAGCACGATTTTCTTTTATATAAGAAAATCTACATCACTTGTATAACGTTATATACAACAATATTTACCTATATATAAGATCTAATACTATTTAATTGATAAGTTGAACGTGTATTATATGTTGTGGTTGTGCTTAAATAAATAAATAACAATTGAACACAAAAAAAGCGAAAATATAAATCGTGAGCAATAAATAAAACGTATTTCTTACGACAAAGTTTACTCGTCCGGGAGTTATGGTATAATAGAATGTCACAAGCACGTATTTTAATTTTGCAACATTAATGTAATTAAAATGGGTCCGTTTACGAAATGTTTTGTAGAAATGAATGCCTCAAGCTTTTATCAAATGGAAAATGAAAGAAGTGTTTCGTAATAAAATGTTATAATTTAATCTGTATTTATCTTAAAATTAACGTAATATTTTGTCATTCTTAATATGAATTTAATACATCCGAATTCGATCAAATTGCTTTTACGTATGTGAGTAATTACAACTATTAATTGACCATAGAGGTTAAAAAGGATTTTTTTTATATCATAAGGTGGCAAACGAGCGTGGGGCCGCCTGAAATCGCTGATATAGCGAAGTGACCGTTGCCCATGGACATACGCATTTGCATATGCGTTGCCTATCTTTAATCGACGGAGGGGAGGATGCACAGAAGAGACTTTCGCTTTCCATGCATCCTCTCATCCTGAAAGGATAATTTTTGACGCCTGTCATAGGAGGTTTCAAATCAATAAAATAGAACTGGAAAATTTCAGTAGTAAAATATCGTACGTTGTATTCATACTTTAAATTACAGAGTGTTTTATTAAAATTTAAGTGAATTAATAAAATTATCATTTATTAACATTTGAGAATGTACATTTTGAAGATGGTGACTGATTTCCGGTGGGAATCGATGCGGTGGGGGCGTCGACGAGCTGTAAAATTTGTGTTAACGCTATTTGACAACCGTACAGCGTTCACGGACCTATAATTAAAATATACTATGCGAGTTTCTACAATATTTTAGGATTTTTTTTCGGAAAGTTTATTTTCGGATTACAATATAGGAATTATTAAGAAATTGTTTGAGAAAAAGCTTGATAATAGTAAAAGTTTAAAAAAAATGTTTAAAAATTTGTAAAAATTTGATTTTTGTTATAAGTTACGCAAACAAGTCGAGTTCGCGAAATATACGTTTGTTTTCGATATTTTAAACGTTTAATATTGCGGCCAACTGTAAAAATTATAATAAACCAAAAGATAATGATTACACACAGACACAAATTTTAATTATTGTATAGATTTCGATGATTGACGTTGATAAAAAATCAACCTATATTTAAGAAACATGAGTGTTATAAAATTGATTAGTGAATGTGACGGGGGAAAACACAGCGCCGCCGGCGACAGGACAATGAAAAAACGTCCAAACGACCGTCAAATAGCGTCGATTCGAATTACACGCTCCGACAAATATCAAATCACGTTTCGCTTCAGCGCTGTTTGTATCGGGATTATACGAATGTGAACGTGTTTGATTTTAGGTTTTTCATCTATTTTTGGGTTAAATGAATACATCGCAAATTGTAAATTTAATTGTATTTCCTTTTTTGTACCAATGACATGCTATTTTTTGCTGGAATGTTGTACCACAGTGAAGGTCTGTAACCCAAACGGATTTACCGAATTTAAAGTGTTAGATTCGATTCATATTTTTCCCGGAATCATAGAGGCACTCAATCGAACTTAATCAAAATATACGTTATTTAAATGTTTTAGAATAATACGAAATTGCTTATCATAGTAATAATTAATAGACATGATTAATACATGAATTTTGTTACTTCCACGGAACACAAAAATTTGCGAGCAAGAATTCGTAACGTAGATTTGTAAAGTCTGAAATGGGATATAAGTTCCATTGACAAATCTCGTACAAATTTTAAGATATTTTGTCGTTAACGTTACGAAAATTTCGCAACTATTCGTGATAGACCCTCTGTTCGTAAAACAAGGTGTGTAAGTTTTTCTGTAAATATTATTAGTTCGGTTCGTACGAG